ACGGTTACTGCGACACTTACATGAACATTTAGCAGGGCGTCCTTCTGTGAGCTGGATACATCACTGTCTGTACATGATGTTTCAAGGATAATGGAGTTTGGATGCATTACTGGGCATGCTTTTGGAGTGGACATTTCTAGATCACTGGGCGGATCATGAATGACTGTTTCACTTACATTACTGCTCATCAAGGATTCATAGAGGCTTTTATCAGCACATTCATATGTACTGCATTCCGTTTCCAGCTCCGTATTCAAATTAGAAATTAATTTATCAACTTCTGTAACATCTCCAAAACATGGATGATTTAGCAGCCGTGTACGTAAATTGTCTAAAACATTCAGCTGGCTATTTTTGAACCGCTGCGTTTGTCGCTCAAATAGCAATTGTAATGGATCGGGACAGATAGCCATTTCCTGAATCAGCACGTGATGAGAAATGTTGTATGATTACTTAACAACCAATGTCCTTCAAGGACGCCGATGACAAAATTGAATGCTGATTGCTCGAAATAATTAGACTGAATCTCGTCCAATTACAGGTTAACGTTGAAGATTGAGGGTTCAGAAATTTTTTTCTACCCCGTCGCCAATTGTTATAACTTGTGATCCGCCTATTAGAGAGCAGCCTATTATCGATCGAAACAGTGACGCATAAAATACGAGCGAGCAGCCTAGAGCTCTGATTGGTCCTGCTTCCCTGTCTAGCCCAGCCAATTGAGTCCAGAACACAAGTCTCAGCCTCGGAGATATGAATCGTTATATTTCAAACTGTTTATATACCAAACAACCAGACTACATCGTACCACAAAATAGAAAGTAACATTTGTACAAGATTTAACCTTCAGGAAATGACACAAATAAATATTGACCAATAAGGAGATGACACGTTGGAAGAATGTTGACCAATGGGGAAATGACACTACTTCTCATTCAGGAATAGCATTAGATAATTTCTGAATACCCCAACACCTCCTTTTCTTTGAAGATCCGGACCTGATATCCGGAATATAAGTTTCTCGGGTCCGTCCTCCCCCACAAAACAATGTTGGGTCCCCATATACCCAAAATACAATTGACCTGACTTTAATTAAAATATATTTGTCGCAGCGCACAAGAAACCGACTGAGCATGACTAAGTGGTGAGGGTGAACGACGCTTGACATGAGGTCATCGAGTTTTGATTCTTCGGAAAGATTATCATCAAATTTATCAAGAATATCACTAGTAGATAGTGGATCGCTTTGATAATCAGCGTCCATCAAAACTGAATCAGGTTCTTGATCATTATTTGACACATATGACATATTTTCTGGCAAATCAAGGGAATCGCGATTAGATTTGTCAGGAACTTCTATCGCGGAATGATGAGCTTCATTTGGTGCAGCTGCATTCAGTGTACTGCACGATTTGTTTTCTGTTTCATGGGCGGTTACTGCGACACTTACATGAACATTTAGCAGGGCGTCCTTCTGTGAGCTGGATACATCACTGTCTGTACATGATGTTTCAAGGATAATGGAGTTTGGATGCATTACTGGGCATGCTTTTGGAGTGGACATTTCTAGATCACTGGGCGGATCATGAATGACTGTTTCACTTACATTACTGCTCATCAAGGATTCATAGAGGCTTTTATCAGCACATTCATATGTACTGCATTCCGTTTCCAGCTCCGTATTCAAATTAGAAATTAATTTATCAACTTCTGTAACATCTCCAAAACATGGATGATTTAGCAGCCGTGTACGTAAATTGTCTAAAACATTCAGCTGGCTATTTTTGAACCGCTGCGTTTGTCGCTCAAATAGCAATTGTAATGGATCGGGACAGATAGCCATTTCCTGAATCAGCACGTGATGAGAAATGTTGTATGGTTACTTAACAACCAATGTCCTTCAAGGACGCCGATGACAAAATTGAATGCTGATTGCTCGAAATAATTAGACTGAATCTCGTCCAATTACAGGTTAACGTTGAAGATTGAGGGTTCAGAAATTTTTTTCTACCCCGTCGCCAATTGTTATAACTTGTGATCCGCCTATTAGAGAGCAGCCTATTATCGATCGAAACAGTGACGCATAAAATACGAGCGAGCAGCCTAGAGCTCTGATTGGTCCTGCTTCCCTGTCTAGCCCAGCCAATTGAGTCCAGAACACAAGTCTCAGCCTCGGAGATATGAATCGTTATATTTCAAACTGTTTATATACCAAACAACCAGACTACATCGTACCACAAAATAGAAAGTAACATTTGTACAAGATTTAACCTTCAGGAAATGACACAAATAAATATTGACCAATAAGGAGATGACACGTTGGAAGAATGTTGACCAATGGGGAAATGACACTACTTCTCATTCAGGAATAGCATTAGATAATTTCTGGGGTATTTTCTGAATACCCCAACAATTTCTACTGATTTGGTCATCTTTTCTTTACAACTGAATACAACTTCGAAAAAACGAAATTCGCTATCAGATAAAATGAAGCATACAAATTTTGAAACGCGCAAAGATGTTTTCGATTTTGAAAGCTATGATATATTGCCTTAGTTCTGTTTTAATGATGTCTTTGGTATGAATCAACATAACTTTACAGTTTTAAGGTAGTTGTTATTGGCGAGGGATTTTCTCAGCACTTGGTGACTTATTAAGTAGCTAGTCTATGATACGATTGGAGTGTCTTAATCCCGAGGAAAAATTCTAGAACAAAAATGAAAAAGAATGGTGTTGCTGCATGAACATAACTTAAAATAAGCTTACCTGCTCCAGCAAAGTTTGTATGTGATTACGCTCCTTTAAAAGAGCATCAGTTCGAATCCGTTCTGATTCTATTTGACGTTGCCTTTCTGCATCACGTGCTGCCTTCATCCTATGTTCAACGGCTTGACGACGACGTTGTTCGCGCTGAGCTTCCAGTTGTCTTGAAAGTTCTGCCTGTTTTTCAGCCTCTGCAGCTTGTTGACGCTCTTTCTCCATACTGTGATAAAGAACAACGAATTTTAAAGAACGAATTACCAATTCACATAAAATAAATGCTCATTTGAACATTACACTTCAGATTTTAATAAATATTATTTATCAGTGTAGGGTTCAGGTGGATATTAAAGATTTCTCAAACCTTACACTATAATTGAGAAACTGAAAGCACTAGAGACGTTGCGTCCTAGTGTGGGACTTCTCAGCAGTGATCATTAACGACTGCTCACCCGGGAACCGAAATCAGGACCTTCCTTCTTGCACGCGAACGCTTAACCTCTACACGAGTGAGTCGGCATCCAACGGTGTTAATATCTAACTTCAATAAATGCACGATATTGTGCGAATAAGATCAATTATCTATATAGAGTCTATGAAAATGTTATGGTCTTTACAAAACTCTACGTTGATAAAAAAATGCTTACTAGTAACTAGCTTACATATGTAAAAAGAATGGAGTTAGACATTAACACCGTTGGTCTAGGGGTTAAGAGTTCACGCACAAAACCGAAGGTACTAAGTTCGATTCCCGGGTTTGTAGTCGTTGAGATGTCTCACACTAGGACTAAACAGCTGTCAAATGCTCTCAGGCTTTTAATGGTGGTGTTAGAGGGACATAGATTGGATTTAAGCATGCTCAATGCACGATTGCTTTGGCGCACGCTGATTGGCTGATTCTTATCCAATCAGCGCTAGTCTATACATGGAGAAGCTTCTAGATTCTTCTTATGTAAAAAGCTATAAATATACTAACGGTTTTCCTATTTTGCTTCTTGCTTCCACCTAACCTTGTTATTTGGAATATAATCTCCTTCCTGCTCAATCGTGTTCTGATTTGGGGCCTTGTCGAGTGAATCTGTGTCCGTGAATACTAAGCAATAGGAATAGCTGGGTTAAAACCGTAAGAGCGAAAATATAACAGTGGCGACGGGGAAAAAGGAAAATAAATTCAATATGTCCATATCAGACGACCAGCTTAACCGAATACTACAACAACAGCAACAACAATTAGATGCACAAATGCGGTTGTTAGAGACTCTGACTCAACAGCTTAGCTTCCACCGCTCGAGTTCACATGCCATTTCAAGTACGTCTTGTGATGCAGTTGCTAGCAGCATACCAGAATTCATCTATGATCCCGAAAGCGGAAATACTTTTCTCACGTGGTTCAAACGTTGGGAAGATACATTTAGAATAGAATTCTGTAACCAAGACGACGCGTGGAAGACTCGACCGTTGGTACGTAAGTTAGGAATTAATGAACACGCATGCTATGCTGACCATATATTGCCTAAGTTACCTCGAGAGCTCAGTTTCGAGGAGACGATAATTCAATTGTCAGAGATATTCGGTGAATCCTCCTCATTGTTTAGTATTCGACATCAGTGTCTAAATTTGGTGAAACGCGAAGCCGATGAATATGGTGTTTTAGCAGACATCGTCAACAGAGAATGTGAACGGTTCAAGTTACGCTCGTTGACAGAAGACCAATTTAAATGCCTAATATTCATCAAAGCTCTTCAGTCACCACAAGATGCTGAGATCAGGACTAGACTTTTGACCCAAACGTCACACTCAGAACGTTAACAGATGAGTGTAAGCGGCTACAAAGCATCAGACACGACAACAAGTTGATTGAACAGGTAAATCCTAATTTAACCTGCAGTAGTGTCAATGCTATTACTAGGTTAAAAGTTAAGAAGCCGATAACAACTCGTAATAAACCAACGACTGCATGCTGGTTATGTGGTGATTGGCATTATGTACGATTCTGTCCATTTAGAAAGCATATACGTCAGGTGTGCAGCAAACGTGGACATAAAGAAGGTCATTGTCCACCGAATCGTACGTCTCATCCCAAAAAGAAGCATAAACGTTCTCGACATGTGAAATCCGCCGAGTTTAAATCTCTTTCTCTGGTAGCTGCCTTTCAAACAAACTATGACATTCGGAGAAAGTATGTTACCATCCAGATAAACGGCATATCAGCTCGTCTTCAAATTGACATCAGATATCACCTTAGTATCTAGAGAAACGCATAACTTGCTGGGTAAACCGCCAATGAAGCCATCTAAGAAAACGGCCAAAAACACATCAGGTGGTGTGCTAAAACTGGTTGGTGAATTACAGTGTGAATTTTCCTTCAATGGAACTAACTGCACAGGAATATGTTACCTAACAGAACGGCCAAACCTTGATCTTCTTGGTCTAGATATGTTAGATAAACTTGGAATAATGGATGTACCGATTAACAGTGTCTGCAACGTATTGTGTTCATCATTAGACACCCCAGTACTTCCAAAGAAGACAGGTGAAAGGTTACTAGAAAAACTGAAAAGAAAGTTTGCCTCCATAGCAGTAGACCCAGAAATACGAAGTATAGTGGCAGATGCCATTCGAAACACTCCAGTGTCGTCAGATGAAGTCAGAGAAGAAACTCTTCGAGACCCGATTCTACAAGAAGTTAGAAAGTTCCACCTGGAAGGATGGCCTGCGAAGATCAGTTCCACAGAGCTTCAACAGTTTTACCAGCGTAGACTCTCTCTCTCAATCATCGACGACTGCCTGCTGTTTGCCGAACGTGTCATAATCCCAAAGAAGCTACAACCAGCAGTGCTTGAACAGTTGCACGCAGGACATCCTGGAATAAATCGCATGAAAGCATTAGCACGAAGTTATGTATACTGGCCGCATTTAGACACCCAACTGGAGCAGCTATCCCGTTCATGTACCAAATGTGCATTAGCAACGAAAGCACCGCGAAAAGCAGAGCTGCAATCATGGCCAATACCACAGTCACCGTGGCAGCGTATACACTTGGACGTTGCTGGTCCACTTCATGGACAAACTTACCTTTTGGTAGTTGATGCATATAGTAAGTGGCCAGAAATCTTTCTCATGGAACACCCGACTGCAAGCTGCACAGTCAGTAAGCTACGTCAACTATTCAGTCGTTTCGGAGTCCCGGAATTGATAGTTAGTGACAACGGAACACAGTTTACGTCCGTAATTTTCTCACAATTTTGTCGGCAGAACGGAATCCATCACGTCCGAACACCTCCATTCCATCCCCAATCAAATGGTCAAGTGGAACGCTTTGTGAGTACATTTAAAAATGCTCCAAAAAAATCTAAAGGGGAGGGGACCACCGAAGAGATCTTAGAGAGGTTCCTGCTTATTTATCGCTCGACACCGAACCCTCAGACGATTAAGGGGGTCTCTCCAGCAGAAGCTCTACTTGGCAGAAAAATACGAACACATTTCGATGTCATCCGTCCTACGCCAGCTCTTGAGCCTCAACGAAACGTATCGATGGAGAATCAGTTCAATCGACATCATGGGGCACAAAAACGATTGTTCACGGTGGGACAAAAAGTACTTGCTATGGACTATCGTGAGAAACATCCTACATGGACATCTGGTCGGATCTTGAAAAAGAAGGGGAGTGTGGTTTATGAGGTGTCAGTTGGCTCAGAAGTTTGGATACGTCATGCTAACCAATTGAAAGCAACTTCGATAGCCAGCAACGAGATTCAATATCGATTACCTCTTGATGTTCTGCTAGACACCTTTGAAATCAAAACGCCTGGAACAGACAGGTCAGTTTCTGTGCAAGCAAAGAGTGATACTTCTTTATTGCCTAGACGATGGACAAATCGAAAGCACAGGCCAGTCACTCGGTTGCAGTTGGACCCTAGCACCAGATCCTACGAATCTGCTCAAAGGGGAGGTGTTAGTGGGACATAGATTGGATTTAAGCATGCTCAATGCACGATTGCTTTGGCGCACGCTGATTGGCTGATTCTTATCCAATCAGCGCTAGTCTATACATGGAGAAGCTTCTAGATTCTTCTTATGTAAAAAGCTATAAATATACTAACGGTTTTCCTATTTTGCTTCTTGCTTCCACCTAACCTTGTTATTTGGAATATAATCTCCTTCCTGCTCAATCGTGTTCTGATTTGGGGCCTTGTCGAGTGAATCTGTGTCCGTGAATACTAAGCAATAGGAATAGCTGGGTTAAAACCGTAAGAGCGAAAATATAACAGGTGGTCTAACTTAAATTAATTCGTGAAATAAAGTTGAAAAAATATTATTTAGGATAAGCTACTACAATGATGATGGCTTGTCGTACAATTTTTAATCCATAGTGGTACTGTATACGACAAAAATTATAAAACCGAAACAATTACATAATCAGATTTAAAATGGAAAACTAAACAATTACAGAACCAGCTGACTTATAGAATTTCAGACATTAATAGAATTCAAAATACAGTATTAATTTATTCTTAATGTGCCCCTAAATGCCCTGGTATGGCCGAGAGTGGGGCGGGCACACCCTCCCTCTCGATATGCTCTCACATGGCCACACATATACAGCCTCTGCCACGGAAGTCCTACTCACTGCCTTCTCGTGCCATGGGTGTTGTTTACGAAAATGAGAGGACGAAAACCGCATGTCTGGCGCTTTAACCGGATCCCAAACCAATCGTGCACATGGGCTCCAGTATCCTGAAGGAACGAATGGTGTATGAACCAATCGTTGGTCACCGGCTACCATGGGACTGTATCACCTCACGATGCTCTACTGCCTTGTGGGTCAGACCTTTAGGTCAAAGGCTCGGGGTGTGTTCCCCTAGGAAAACCACCTGCTTCGGTCTGGGCACCCGGACAGTATCACAGCCCACACACAAATGAAAATTTGTGTGGCGTATATATATTTGGTGCCCTCTGTACCAATATTTATGCGTTCAAATAAAATAATAAATTATTCTTAATGTAAGGATAACCTTTTTAAGAAACTTATCAAAAAAGTGTTCAAAAAAGATAAGTACAGTGATCAGTTAAACCCGAGATAATGATCAAACAGAAAAATTATGAAAATTTATGTTAACTGTTTATAACTAAACATTTATATTAACTAATAAAACCTTACCTACTAATTTATATTCACCTTAATTTTATAAAACAGATGGAGTGCGGGCTATAATGGGATCCAGGACGCGTGTTTTGTGCTGATTGGGACTCGTCAGCTAGATGTAACTGTAGTTTAATGTCAGTGTTCCCACTGGAACTCAAACCCAATATCATTTGCTCCAGACGCTCAACATATTATCCATTGAGCCAGGGAGTCACGATAGTCACCAGCCTATCTAATTGACATGATGTTTATAACATTATTAGTAAAGTTCCACACACCCCCATCTGACGAGTTTCAAATGGAATAAAACAGGCGTCTTGGATTCGACCCATCTATTCAACTAAACTTGTGACAATATGCCTACACCGAGGCAATCCTTACAGGATGTGTATACGCCAACTGGAAAATTCATACCTTACTAATAATGATAGAAATATTCATTCCGATTGTTCACAATAAGTAGTAGTAGCTCATATGTTTAGTTGTGTTCTTGAGTTATGTCTATGATAACAGGTTCACAGAAAAAAGTTCGTGTGCACTCAAATGACATGCCAACCATTTCAATCGATAGAGATTGATTGATGAACAGTATAATCTAGTCATCGTTTTTGTCCTTTGAGCATGAAAAAACGCAACCAAAGATCAATCAAAAATCAGTAGGATCAGTCAATACAAAGTAATTACGTCTTCCAAAATTTATTTATTTAAACACATAAGCATTGGTACAAGGAGGCACCAAATAGATATACGCTGCACAAATCGAATGATTTGTAAGAGGGCTGGAATACTTGTAGTGGCTGTGTTTCGTGGACCAATCACCCTCGTAACCGTTATCGTATAATCCCTCAACGGTGTTCGAAATCAGAACGCAAAGAGAAGCAGCTACTACAGTTTTATTAGCAGGTAACTCAAATCACAGAGCAGAGAGGAGTCGGATATTCACTTTTCATCCTCTCGATTTCGTAAACAACACCCCTGCCACGAGGAGGCAGTGAGTAGAGCTTCTCTGGCAGTGGCTGTATATGCGTGGCCATGTGAGAGCGTTTCGAGAGGGAGAGCTGACTCTCCCCATCATCGGCCGTACCAGGACATTTGGGGGCATATAGAATGCAAACACTGATAATGCTGCAGTGTGAACGGCCTCAAGAAGTAAATAGTAGACATTTCTTTGGAACTTCGATGGAGCAGGTTGGTGGATGTCAAATATAATTAAATACTTGTATCGTGATTTAAATAAATAAATAAACTCATATACGAAAGTATACAAATCCGAAGAGAAAACTAAATGCATCAACATATTATGACTGGTTTCAAGAATAATTTGTTGCTGAATTGCTTGGGTTTAAAAAACAGCATTTGTGAGCTGATGACGTCTAAGGCCAACATAAAACTGCTTGCAATCGATTGAATCAACAATTAATGGAAAATCATGATCATTTACTATTTAAACGCGCCAGACTGGCAAATGTTAAGCACATACAAACGAAAACATACCGTAATTTTTGTTGCTTCTCCCTTTCTAATCGTTCATTCTCCAAACGAACTTCTTCATCTAGACGCATTTTTTCAGCCAACTCCTGCTTTCGTCTGTCGAGTTCTGCTTGACCTTGTCGAAAATTTTCTCTTCGTTTATCTTCAAAACTTAGAGCTAAGTCGAAATATTTCAAATCCATACATACTCAACATTGGGAAGAATTGTAAGTAAAAGGTAAATTTATTATTATGATATGAATGCGTTTATTTACTATGATCATAGGAGGAACAATGGAATTGACTGTTGTCATATTTCAACAAGGTAATCATTATGAATCTATAGCTGAATTATTCTCCAGACACTGAACAAACAGTTAAATAATACGATAAGTATTTAAGATAGACGAAAATATAACGTACTTCGTTTGAATATATGTGAAGTATGATATTTGGTAGAAATCCAGTTCGAATGATGTTAAAACAATTGGTTATACTTGTTTTTTTATCTATGAAACTGCCTGATAACTAAGTTACCTAAGGCCTATATCAAGGTCATCTAGTGCCGCAAACGAGATGTTATTAGTTACTTGTTGTAACTGGACCTGACTGTTGTTGCTACCTTGACGTGGTGGTCGGGCTTGCCTATCGTGATGAAGCAACTGAGCTATACTGGCTGGAACAACCGTTCCTCAAGGTCCTACTATGCCAGACAGGTCGGTTGAAGAGCGGTAAGACTAAAAGCAACAAAACCAAGGTCCGAAGGCGAAGTCGTACTGCTGACTGTACAGAGGTGTGACAGCAGTAAGGTGTTTCCTTCAGACAACCAGCATAACAGCGATGCTGCCTTTCCAACAAGTAGGGATGGGATTAGAAAAGATCGACCCTAAAAATGCACACCTCGCCTTATCCCACGGATATCCGTCTCCGGCGGTAAGGTCTCAACAAGTACGGAGCTAACACAAAAATTACTCATAAAAAGGTCGTGTGCGACCGACCTCAAGCAGCTGTCCGTTGGGCACTGCGGTCACGCTCTCAGGTCACTATGACCACCTCTAATCCAATTTCCTTTTCAGGTACCTCCAGAAGAACCCTTCCACGGTGTGGGCAACCGGGAAGTGATAACCGCCCTCATACCTCTAACAGTACTCAAGACCACTGTATTCATAATCAACCTACCTCTTCAATTCCTATTATTCCTCTTACATCGACTTTCAAATCTAAACTTCCTCATCAAGTGTCACCACAGCCAACGATTCTAGTGCGCAAAACACTGTCCCAGGTCTACTGAAACCTCGCACCAAACTACACATTGGAGCCTTCAACGTACGCACATTATGTCAAATCGGTCAGCAAGCTTCCTTGGCTAAAACCTTAGAATCTCGTACCATTGATGTATGCTGTGTCTCCGAAACACGCATACAGGATCCTAGTGTGGTCATTCACTTGACCTCACCTCGACAAAACGGAGAGCCAACGAGATACACCCTCCGTGTATCTGGCGACCTGATGGCTAGTTCTCGTGGACTGGCAGGTGTAGGCATAGCACTAAGCATGAGGGCGGAACAAGCGCTATTAGAGTGGATCCCCGTTAACAGTCGTCTATGCGCTGTTCGGCTAAACGGCTCCGTAAGAACTCGAAAGGATAGGGACACACGTCGTTGCCTTTTCGTCGTTTCTGCCTACGCTCCCACTGACTGCAGTTCGGATGAAGTGAAAGATGAATTTTACAGAAAACTCTCTGAACTTCTTCAGAAAGCTAAACGTTCAGACATAGTACTCGTAGCAGGCGACTTTAATGCCCAGGTAGGTAGCTTAAACGAAACAGAAAGACATTTAGGTGGGTATTTTAGTATTCCGGCACAGAGAACAGATAATGGTGATCGTCTGCTGCAACTGTGCTCAGACAATCGTTTATTTTTAGCAAACACAAATTTGAAGCATAAGGAGAGACATCGTCTAACATGGCGACCCCCTGCACCAAACCAACGAGGGACTCAAATAGACAATATTGCCATCAGTCATCGTTGGAGAGGGTCCATAGAAGACTGTCGCTCATTCTGGAGTACCTGCTTGGACTCCGACCATGCCCTAGTACGAGCACGCATCTGCTTGCGCCTCACTGGACGCAAAAGAGCCACACAAAAAAGACTCATTAGAACCGAATTGAGTAATGAGAAAACCAAAAGTAGGTTCCAGGAACAACTGAGGTCACACTTAGGTGGTTCTGAAAACGAGGCTGACCCCGATGTTGATTGGAAAGTTATACAAGCAGCTGTGGAAACAGCAGTGACATCTACTAGTGATTTAAACCACAGGGTTACAAAGAACCAATGGATTTCTCCAAGGTCTATTGCACTGATAGATTCTCGCAAACTCATCCCATCAGGTTCTGAACACGATGAAGAGCGTAAAGAAGTCAGATCTAGATTGAGCAAAAGTCTAAAGAATGATCGTGAGCAGTGGTGAGCAACGAAAGCAAAAGAGATGGAAAAGGCGGCGGCTATGGGGAACACAAGACAACTCTACAGACTAATAAAAGAAACTGGAATTAATAAATCAAGTGCAAGTCAGACTATTTCGCAAAAAAACGACACTCTCATCTTCTCCCAGTCCAGACGTTTAGAACGATGGGCGGAACATTTTAAGGAGCAGTTCAGTTGGCCTTCAGCTACTCTACAACTACCCTCTATTCCCAGACAGTATGAATGGAACATTGAAGTAGGTCCTCCAACTCTAGCTGGAGTTCAAAAGGCTATAGCTAATCTGAAAGGAGGAATGGCAGCTGGTCCAGATGGATTGGCCCCAGAGGTCTTTAAAGATGGTAGTCTAGTTTTAGCGACTAGGTTGACTAATATTTTAGCTAAAATCTGGGAGTTAGACGTTATCCCATCTAACTGGTCACAATCACTTATCGTCCCAATATTTAAGAAAGGGTCAAAATCATCCTATGACAACCACAGAGGGATTAGTTTAACTAATATAATATCTAAAATACTAGCTTCGATAATTTTCGGACGCCTAACTAGGACTCGTGAGCTGCACACACGTGAAAATCAGGCTGGCTTCAGACCTGGTCGTGGATGCATCGACCACATATTCACCATTCGTCAGGTTCTAGAACACAGGCATACTTATCGGCGTCCGACAATAGTGGTCTTCCTTGACTTAAAAGCAGCATTTGACTCCATGGACCGCGAGATTCTGTGGCAGTGTCTGTCATTGAAAGGCGTACCTCAGAAGTACATAAACCTTGTGAAAGCTCTTTACTCGAACACTACTAGTCGAGTCAGAGCCTATGGCGAACTGTCATCCGCTTTTGCAACCTCAAGTGGGGTCCGTCAAGGCTGTCCACTTTCTCCATTTTTGTTCAACTTCATCATAGATCTACTGATGGAAATAACGCTCTCATCGATTGAATTCTCAGGTATTGATCTCCTACTAGGAGGTCCACTTATTGACTTAGAATACGCAGATGACATAGTCCTGTTTGGTGAAGATGCTGATGAAATGCAGAGTCTTTTGGTAGCACTGAGCAACAATGCCAGAATGTTTGGGATGCGCTTCTCTCCCTCCAAATGCAAGTTGTTGCTTCAGGACTAGTCTGCAACAACACCTGAACTAAGGATAGGAGGTGAAGTAGTCGAACGCGTCGACAACTTCACTTATCTTGGAAGTCTGATCAGCCCTAATGGGTTGTTGTCTGACGAAATCTCAGCAAGGATTCGAAAAGCTCGTTTGGCCTTTGCCAACTTACGTCATCTATGGCGAAGGCGAGATATCCGTCTATCAATTAAGGGACGAGTATACTGCGCGGCAGTTCGTTCCGTTCTACTATACGGCTGCGAAACATGGCCTTTGAGAGTAGAAGATATTCGTAAGTTACTAGTATTTGACCACAGGTGCCTTAGAAATATTGCTCGCATCTGCTAGGATCACCGGGTAAGTAATAGTGAGGTTAGACGCAGGGTATTAGGAATGATGGCAAATCAGTTGATGAGGTTATGAACCTTCATCAACTGAGATGGTTGGGCCACGTTCTGCGTATGCCTGAACACAGATTACCACGACGCGCAATGCTAACCGGTTGTAGGGATGATTGGAAGAAAGTTAGTGGCGGCCAAACCAAAACGTGGCATCAGTGCTTGAAGTCACTAACTTCTGGTCTGAGCCATGTTGGTAGATGCAGACTACCTGGTTGGGGTCCGCGTGACTATCGTAACCAATGGTTGGAGACTCTTGGTGACATGGCTCAGAATCGATCACAATGGCGTCGGTGTATACACTCTCTGTCTTCCTTTAAACTAAGAGATTAAAATCACTTCAAATCTTTCTTTCTAGGAACTAATTCTTTTTTCCTGTACTATCTCCTTATACACACTCTTTCTTCTATATATTACCACCACTGAATTAACTACTTCTATGAATCCGGTGTTCATCTTGTTGTGCTAATGCGGTATGGCAACTTGGACCGATGCATATACGTGCCTAGTCCTACGTTGCAGCTGACTGACTGACTGTTGTAACTGGAAATGATCTATTGTACGAAACTATCATATGTATTATTATGCTATTAGATAACACTCACCAATTAAGTAATCGTATGTGGCCAATGGAGCAAACGGTGCAACATGAAGAACTCCTGTTACGAAATACATTGATATAAACGTAGGCGACAAAAATAATCCCCGTAGAAGAATTGAGTCACATAATCAACCATAATGGTACAAATACTAATAGCAGTTTAAGTGATTAACTGAAAATAACTTGAGCAAATTAAGCAAATTATGATGTTACCAAGCGCTCGAATTTCAACTTAGCATTAGACAGCGAATACAATATTTCATCAAAAGACAAATAATATCACTAGGACATTCTGAGGGATGGAATACTACCCGGATGCCCAAGCTGCAGCAGGTGATTCGCTTAGGCGGCCACTCCCAGAGCCTTTGACCTAAAAGACTAATCCACAAAGCAATGGAACAACTTTAGGTGATGCGGTCCCATGGTAGCCAGTGACAAACAATGGGTTTATACACCATTTGTCCCCTCAGTATACTGGAGCCCATGTGCACCAGTGAACGTGAGTTGCTATATACTACCCATGCTTGGAATTAGGGTTTTCCAACTCCTCCAGATGGATCCGCCATATCCACTAACCCGGTTATAGCGTCGGATATTCACTTTTCATCCTCTCAATTTCGTAAACAACACCCCTGCCAGGAGGAGGCAGTAAGCAGAGCTTCCCTGGCAGTGGCTGTATACGCGTGGCCATGTGAGAGCGTTTCGAGAGGGAGGGCTGACTCTCCCCCACCCTCAGTCATACCAGGGCATTTGAGGGAATATGTATTCACAACAATATCTCGAGGGACAATGAAAGTTTCACGGCTAAATAATCCAACTCAAAAAATATAACACCTTCGAAATCATTCTGAGTAACAAATATCCTCCATCATCTTATTAGCATGTTAATTAAGCTTAAGAATTGTCATTGTGAAAACATTATTTTCAGTTTAATATCTGATAAATGTACCAAAAACAGATTATGCGCAAATGGATATTTCAGGGAAAATGATAGTAATTTCGTCCTACGTTTTTTACTAAATTTTCTCTTCAAATAGCTCGACTTCTGAATATTAATAAAAAATCAAATGACCTTTATTAGTCTGCTATTAAGCACACAGAAACTGTGAGACTATCGCTTCATTAAAAATACAGGTTAGGAAAAAAAGACAGTTGGCAGCATTATTAACATTATGTCAAGATAAGAGAAAAACTTGCTCAATTGATAAACAGCGGATGCAAAGACATTAATCGTACATGATTTGCTTTCCTTGGATTCATTATCTTGTTTGGCAGTAACGCTAGGAGATGTATGCCCAAATGTGCGCTAATTTTTCAATACACAATGAAGATTATTATAAATATTTAGTATAACGTATGAAAATGTTAGGCAACTAATAAAAGTAATAAGAACGAAATTGTTAGTTATCAGATAAGCAAGGATTGTTCTAGCAAAAGTAAAGTAGTGAAGGGAATTGTGTGACAATTAAACTGGTATGATGAATACGGATAGTTCACATAATGATTGGAAAATTATAGCTTACAATACGCAACGTGATTTGATAGGGAGAAGTAGAGGAATGTTTTTTTCGTTCGCTAATAATAAATTGCTATCTAATAAATAATTCAGATTTGGACCTCTTAAGGGACTGATAGATCTAACTCCCTAATATATTGTTAGTTGGTCGGTGTTTCTATCTTTTGAACCCCACTCTGTTGAAATTCATAGATCGGTTTCGTCAGTAAACTATCAGTTTGATTATGTGAGTCACTCTCATGTGACATTAAAATAATTGTGCTATCATGAAACGGTTTACATGGGCTCATAGGTCGTACAGTAACAAGTGTTTAAACATAGTGTTCGCTGGCACCCGCAGAAATGTATGTTCTGACGTCCTTCAACTGTTTTGTAGGTGCGCTTCGACTGTACAATAACCCACACAATCATCACAATTAAAAATGAAGAATACAGTACCACAATAAACAGGTTCATTTCGTGTCTTAATATTGTTCCGATTTGCAAAAATTATATTTTAATTTCAGTTTTGATCTCTATTTTACTCTGTCGCTTTGTTCTAAGGTAAACAATCATATGCTGCCAGAATCATTGGTTCATGAGAGCTACCACCCAAAATGATGTTTGATGTAACTAGTTTGATAACAAGTGAGGTATTCTGACTCCTCCTATGCGAACCAAACAGCAATATCTGGCCAGTGTTACGCCAAACGCTAGAGCCAAGGCAACATTAATTAGATGGTTCTCTATTAACAACTGTTTATCTTTTGATACTCAGAGGTTTAACTGAAGTAAAAGGTTACTGATATGAGGAACGGTGTTTTTCCGTTATTACTATTTACAGTTTAACCAATTGAAACACGGAAGAAACAAAGAATTAATGCTAGGTCTAACTGAACAGCTTTAATTTCCCCATTTCTCTCGAACTTCCCATTGGTGATATTCTAAAACAGATTTGACGGAATTGTCTAGTGGTAGAGTAGACAGATAGGATGACGATAACATCTTACTGTGCAATGACAAACAAGCTGTACAAATGGTACATAAGAATTTAGCAGCCAATGTCAGTGGGTGTTGCTTGTAATTTGCATAATCAATGTTTACTATTCTGACAAGATTGATGTTTCGTGTCAGTATTCTCCCTGTCGAGATGCTCGTGTATTTGGGTAGCTGTGAGCGCTGATGGTAATGTGACAGACGACATTAACTATGATGTACTTTATAGAAATTTTGGTTACCTTTGTAAGACCACAACATCAGTCTACCTAAAGGACGATGAGCATGCAAACCTGTAATATCAATAGTTCTACATCAGTTTGTGAAATGTTGTCTTTAGGTTGAGAATATTTGACAGCTTCCTGATTTAGAACGTAATTGCCTTCAAAGGATTCTTTAGACTTGACACCAACAACCTGTAAATGATACCGAAGTTTAACAACATGGAAACGTACCACTAAGATGGACGACATTTACATAGATGTCATATACAAGTAATATAATTTAGTTAACGAACACATAAACCCTGTATAATATCGTATCTTAGACTATAAAGAAGTATGTGCAACTCGGAAGTCAGTCTCAAAACATGAAAAAATGGCTACTTTGTTTCAACTGATATCAGGGAGTAATTTAAGACCAATACAATTGTGAGCTAGAAATTAAATTTAAGCCCATCCTAGTCAAAGGTGTGAATTATATATATATATATATATATATATATATATATATATATATATATATATATATATATATATACCGGTTGATTTGAAGGAAGAAGACCAGAAGGGAGCGTGTTTGGAAGTTGAGATCCAGAAATTGCTTTTTCAATTAAGAAAATTGCAATACAAAATTCATCGCAGTTCAAATTGCCATTTTTATCCAAATCTGCAAGATTCCTATAGAAACAAAAAAATAGTATATGATCACGAAACAAGCTGGAACTACACATAAGCAAGTTTAAAGTATTTGTATAAATTCTTATATTCTGAGATTTCTACGTCAGTCGAATCGAAGAAAAGATTTTGCATATTACTGACAATTGTTTGGACTGCTTGAAAAAACTAAAGGCTGTCAACAATATCTCGTTTACATTTTTGTATCTTTTTGGATTTGAATTTTCATAGACAGAACTTTATTTGATATTATTTTATGTACGATTTTGGTGGGACATCCATTAGCATTTATGGTAAAATATACTGTCCCATTGAATAACTAGGTGACTGACGCATCATTGTTGTTCGATGAGTGTGGATGTCATTAACCATTAATTAGTGCAATTATACATTTTTTTCTTTCGTAGTCACTATTCGTATCCTAGTCGGATGGTATCCACCTTTGGATACTTAAGCATTTTCTATTTCAATTAAATGGAATAAGAAAAATGAACAACACATAAGAAAGAATTAAAAGTATCATCAATAAATAGATAACAAATGTAATCACACTACCAGATATGAGCAAGTATGGGATTTGAAAGGCCATATTGTGAGAGAATACTTCTCGCTTCTACGCCTGTGAGAAAACCACGTTTATTTCGATCATGTTGATTAAAAAGAAGTCGATAGCGTGGACGATTGGTTGGTGTTATAATCCAATCCTGGTAAGCTGTAGATGCTGGATTAGAATCTTGCCCATTTGATGACACAGAAGAAAGACCATTATGACCTTATTTAGAGAAAACAATCGTAAAAATAAGATTCAAAGTAATCATTATACAGGAGGAATGGTAGATTACTATGACGATACTAAAAGTACACATTTCCACAGAATACGAGTATTCTATCGATCTGTACACAATGTTGTCCATAGCTGTTGTAGCATATACGGTTACCCAGAAAAAAGGTCACAAATTTGCAAAATGTCTAAAGTATATATATCGATGAAAAAAGCTCGAGCGTTTTGAATGTTAGCGAATCCTACTACGAATGAACCAACTAAAGATAGTTGCAAAAGAAATGTTTGGGATCGTCAACCCTAGAGATATACTGACCAACAATGTGTGTACTAGATGGTACTATTTTACGATATAAAAGCCAATCGGTGAAAAGAATCTTGAAAATCGCCTTATTATGCTGGATAAAAACATCAGCACGTAAAGTTCTCTAAGAGAATGAACATAGTGAGGTGAAACGACTAATATGTTCTCATACCTGAAGAAAATGATTTACATTGAAAGTGATATGTCCGGCATTTTGCCGGACATCTATTTAATTTGAAGTGAACTTTCAGATCAATAAGTTGCTTGAAATGTTGATATTTTGAATAGAACCATTTAGTATTTCTACCAAATTCGACCAGTTGCAAAGTAGTTTATGACCATTGAGAACTACATTTGAATGATTCTCATGGTCAAACTCATAAGGGATGCATTAAATATAATTACCTGAATCGCTCACTAAGCTCAATGAAAGAGTAACACCTGATGTAATAAATGCGGGTTGAGGATCTTTCTTGAGACCTGGAGGCAAAGTAGAAGGCAAAGGTAGACCTTCCAATGTTTTTTTGATAAGAAACATAGCTATCGAAAACTCTTTCTTGTCCATTTTTCCATCCATATCCATATCTGCAAGAGCCCTAGAAATATCATTCATGAAACCTAAGCAATATAACATACCATATCTGCCCCAAGACCATAACTGATAATCCTGACTTCATAAAGAAAACTCTTGCTTGATCACCTAGTAAATTACGTCCGTTTACAAATGAACACGCAACTTACCGGTTATATAACCACCAACAGGTTTAAGGAACTGAAACTGAGCATCGTGTTTAACCCTGTCATCAGTCGTTATAACCCAACGGTCCCATTCAGCTAAAATATTACATGATTACTAAAGATCTTATCACGGAAATGTGGCAATGCAAATAACTCATCCTATCTTACATTATAATGGTAGAAACAATAATGAGCATATTTAGAGCTCATAATAATAATTAAAAGCCTAACGGGATATAACTAGGTATAGTGTGTAACCGATTGAGAAGCTAACCCCAAATGCCCTGGTATGGCCGAGAGTGGGGTGGGCACACCCTCCCTCTCGAAATGCTCTCACATGGCCACACATATACAGCCTCTGCCAGGGAAGTCCTACTCACTGCCTTCTCGTGGCGGGGGTGTTGTTTACAAAAATGAGAGGACGAAAAGCGAATGTCTGGCGCTTTAACCGGATCCCAAACCAATCGTGCACATGGGCTCCAGTATCCTGAAGGAACGAATGGTGTATGAACCAATCGTTGGTCACCGGCTACCATGGGACTGTATCACCTCACGATGCTCTACTGCCTTGTGGGTCAGACCTTTAGGTCAAAGGCTCGGGGTGTGTTCCCCTAGGAAAACCACCTGCTTCGGTCTGGGCACCCGGACAGTATCACAGCCCACACACAAATGAAAATTTGTGTGGCGTATATATATTTGGTGCCTTGTACCAATATGTGTTCAACTAAATAAATAAATAAACACGGAAAAAACGAGCGAATGATTTTGAGGTTGAGCGCAAGTCCAATAAACTGGTTCACGACATTATCTCAAGGATTGAAAGTAATGACATATTTGTTATCAATAGGCTAGGTTGATACTACGTCCTCTTGGATGTTATAATTTATTTCTAAAGAACAGACTTGTGTATCATGCTTTGAGAGTATTCGTAATGGCTGGTGCTAGTACCTGTTTCCGAAATTGAGAGGATGAAAAGCGTATGTCTGACGTTATAACTGGGCTGGTGGACACGGAGAGTCCTCCTAGGGGAATTCGAAAACCATGATTCCAAACCAATGGTGAATATGAGCTCTAGTATACTGAGGGAACAAATGTCACCAGCTATCATGGGACCGCATCTTCTAAAGTCGTTCCACTGCCTTGTGGATCACACCTTTAGATCGAAGGCCCCATGTGTGGTCCCCTAAGAAGGCCACCTGCTTCGGTCTGGGAACCCGGGCAGTATCACAGCCCACATACAAGTCAAGTGACTTATGCGGCGCATATATATTCGGTGCTCCTTTACACCAATGTGTTCAGGTAGACAAACAACCTGGTTCCGAAAACCAAAATAGGTAAGGTGTGGATCGGACACGCAACCCGACGATCGGAAGCCAAATCCCCCAAACAATAAAGAGCAGCTCAGTGGGTATCAATATGCTGTAGACTTTATGAGATGATCACGTCGCTAATTACCAAGTAACCATCAATACTGAAAGTGCGAAACGAGATTACAGCTCGAGACAGAGATAAATAATGAGTTTGTTTATTTCCAGGATTTGAGTCAGTGTTTACGACAATATATTTTGGGATTATTGGCCAGCACACTTTCTCGGAATCAAAACGCCAGAACATTTTAGGCATCTTTTTAACCTTGCCAAGACATCCTCCGTGATTTTCGATTCACTAGTTGTGAACAGATGTCCAACACACCCTACATATATGTGCTTCTTAATGAAGCAGGACCTTTTAAAAATCCTAGACCGCTAGAAGCGAGATAATCAAGTGAGTTAAGAAATCAATGGGTTATTCATATCAACATACACATCTGCACGGAAGATAAGTACTAGTGATCCTAGCTTTAGTTAGAAGACGAATACCCCGGGCGCATGTGACCGCGTCAGTTAACCAATGTGATGTAGTAAAACAACATTCTAAATTAGGTAGTAAGGACAGAAGGCGCACGACCTATGTTGTCCTTTTTCTAATATACTTCTGTGAGTGTCTAGTCTTCTCCTGAATGAGTCAGTTGAAGGCACAGACACCACTGCTTCGGGTAACAGATTCCAAGAATTTATAACTTGGTGAGAAAACTTGTATGCTACTCATATTTGTTCATTCTTGACATTGCTACTCACATGCTATGTCCCCTGAGATGCCTCGATCTGGTAAGAAGGAGAAGACAGGATATATTAGGTCCAAAACTATTTCTTAGTGTTCGATACATCAAAATCAGATCACCTCTTAACCTGAGATATAACAGAGAAAAGAGGTGTAGCTTTCAAGCCACTCTTTGTATGGTAAACCCCGGAGTTCTGGAATCGCATGTGTAGCCGACCTCCAAACTTTTTCCAGAATATCCGAGTCACCATTTACAAAAAGGCTTGCAACCTGAACTCAGTTTTCGAGCTTAGTTCTCCCTAAGGTTGTGTATAATGTAGTGAGCATGGTAGCATATAACTTAGTGAATGTCCACCTTAAAGCACAAAAGCTTCTGAGCCCCCTAGATGCAACCTTCTATTATGGGCCGATTTCTTAAGATCATGACTCGCTGTCACCCGAAGATCCATGTGAGACCAGACCACGGGCACTACCATTTCCCCCATACGTACTTATTTACCAATTTATTGAAGATGCCACTGGTATTCAGAGTTTGATAACGCTTTAATCAGTAACACCTAATATGAAGCGTACCCACCAAGTGAAATCAAAAGACAGAAGCAAGGAGGTTCGAAGATATATTTGATAGGCCATCAATATATCGAGGATCGTCTTATCTAATCTGGCTAGCGATTGTAGTAGATGTTGAGCACGGCGTTCCCACACGTGATCTGGTACGGATGTATGACAGAGCGCCTTCAGCTAGATTAGTCTATTAAAACTAATATGGTCAGCATCCAATGTCGAAAACGTACAGAGCTATTTGTTTTGGGGATTTATTTACCGCTACAATATCCACAACGTGCATTTGGACATACTTTGCTGTGTTCATAGGCATCAGTCACTTTCTAGACCAGTCAACCACTATATTTAAGTCTTCCTAAAGTGCGCATGTATCTGCGTCTGCCGCTATTTGTAGCTGGAGTTTTACATCACCAGCGTACAATAACATTGGGGACTCTACTTGTGAGATCATTTACACACAATATAAAAAATAAAGGACCTAGTACAGAGACTTGAGGTACTCCACTAAGTACTGCTTTCAACGTGAAGCACTTCGAATTTGCTCTAACTTTCCGTCTACGACCCACTAGGAAATCCTTAAGCCATTTTAGTAGATGTCCAGAGGTGCCAAGATTTTCTAGCTTAAATGAAATCTTGTTTGTTTTAAAACTATAAGAGTCAAAGGGCGAAAACAAATATGGCTGTTTTTGTCGACTTACTGAATTAACATTTCATCTCATGACGTAGGTCCCTCGTGTTTATAATACACGAAATCGTTTATAATTATCACATGCTTCATTTTTATCTCGAAGATTTATACACATTAATTCACATTTGTTACAATTTAAATGTCACAGACAAGTTCATGATGACATATTTTAGGACTTCGAAAGGAATCGCTTCACTGAGGCACTAAAAAGGCCCTAAATATTATTTGTCATGTAAGTTAATGTTGATATCTTCAAAATACTTAATTAAATGACGGACGTTACACAAACGTTTTAATATGGTATATTTGTAACTGCAAGTATTTATTATTTGGTATTCAGTATAATACATCAACATAAACGATCGAAGCTGCTTAGCCTAAGCGGAACGATTTAGTCAAGCAAAACTCTTATGAATTACCCTTTAGTTAATAGAAGCACACGGTGGTAATGGGCATTTATTTTTATTAAACATTGCTCAGGAATTTCATATTGTTACATTTGCAGGTGATCATACATGTTATTTACGGCCAGGATAACTGCCTTGGACGGGTTGTTTTACAACACTTTAGAGAATAAAAATTAGAATCCGTGCACATTACTGGTTTTTTGTGTTTATTTACTTATGATACCTACGTCTGTTACCCCTCGTGGAAGAGCATAGACCACCCACCAGCATTCTCCATTCAACTCTGAATTAAACAATCCTTTACATTTGTTTCGAAACGACATACATCCCTTTGACATCTTCAAATTTTCGACGTAGTATATCCCTTAATCTTCTCCATTTCCATTTCCCTTCAGGATTCCGAGTTAGCTCCTGGCTCGTGACGCTATCTGATAATTTCCGAAATGTATGTTATTTTCACTTCCAGCGTCTTTTCTTTATTTCCTCTCCGATTGGAACCTGGTTAGTTCTCTACCACAGTAGACTTTTGTTGATGGTATCCGGTCAACGGGCATTAGATATCTTGCGCAGAAGATTGTTTATAAATACCTGTGACTTTTCTATCGGGCCTGTAGTAGTTCTCCACGTGTCAGCTCCTTACTGTCTCGACATTCCTGTTGAAGATTCGGAATTTGATGTTGGTTCGTAGATATAGCTTCTCCATCAAATGTGATTTGGTTGGTGTTCTCTGTGTTGTATTTAAGAATCTTGCTTTTTCTGTTGTGTATGTTGAGGCTTCTGCTACACTGGTTGACTTCATCTGCATTTTTGGGTGGGTATGATATAGAAGAGCTAGGTCATCTGCAAGGTCCAAATCGTCTGGTCGCATATGAGTTGTCCATTTTATTCTGTGCTTCCCCTCAGATGTGGAGGTCTGCATAATCCAGTCGACCACAATAAGAAAGAGGAAGAGGGAGAATAAGTAGCCATGTCTGATTCTAGTCCTCTCTTGGGATGCATCTGTCAGCTGTCTTACACGCACAACTTTTCACTGTAGTCCGTCGTGTAAATTTCATTCGATGTTGACGATTTTCTCAGGCATGTCATAGTGTAGAAGAATACTCCATAAGATTATACTATGAACACTGTCACACACATTCGTATGGTCGAAGACGTTGATGTGTAGTTGATCTGTATTGTCGCGATTTGATCTGTGCACAACCAATCTGTGTAGAATCCAACCTGTTCATCTCGAAGTTTGGCGTTTACTGAATCTTTTGTCCGGTTCAGCAATACTCGGTTACAAACGTTTCCTGGTACCGATAGTACTGTATTGCCTCTGTAGTTTTTACACTTGTTCGGACCTCCTTTCTTTGGTTTCTTGATGAGGTATCTTTTTTTCCAGTCTGTCGGTGGCAATTGTTCTCCCTTTGAATTTTTGAGCGTGTTTGCATTCATTTTTATGTCTGACTTCAGTGCTTCAGTTGGTATATTATCAAGTCCTGTTGCTTTCCAACCGTCGATTTTTCTGATAGCCATCCTGATTTCTTCGATCGTTGGTGGAGTGATATGTATAGAAAAGAGTTTTGTGTGACACTTCTATATACGGTGCACCGACCAGAGACAGCAACGAAGATGATCAAGTTTTGTGAGAGGCTTCAGTCGGTCGTATCAAAGTGCTCAGGAAAGAACTTGACCATTCTCATGGGAGATCAAAACGCCAAAGTCGGAATGAATAACACCAGCTATGTAAAAATCATGGGACGACATGATCTGACTGAGAAAAAAAATACTGGAATGGTGACAGATTTGAAAATTCATGTGCATTCAACAAAGTGCTAAGTTGATCGGTCTCGACTTCAATATGACGTCCGTTAGATGGGGTCCATTGCACTGTCCTTACTATTTAAAAAATCTTTGAACTACTGGAAACAAGCAGCTGGATACAGATAGCCAGCAGGTTCTCTAAAAAGACTGGTCTATTGGATTTTACTTTTCTACATGTTACCCTATCACATAATAAACACACTAGTTTTGAATTTACAGGCAGTGATCACAAAGATGCAGCTTGCCCGTTTGTTGAGAAAAATGCCCTAGAACGTCTATCGGGATAAACGCTGTTATAAACATTACCGGAAATTTTGTATACACCGACTGATTCTACTGAGAAATTTCACGACGAGTTGGGATGGATTTTTTCTCCCGGGAACATTATTATTATACAAGATTTTCCATAGTGTAATCTCGAGATTTTTATAGATGAAAGTCAGCATGTTCCCTATTGTAACTATACTCCTGTCATACTTGAATCTAAACTGAGGGAGCTGTGAAAAGACTTTTCGTTCACTATGACGTTTTTTCCATTCTCATTATCTGATCAGTATTTATCAATTTTACGAAATAAGGTGTAGCGTGGTGTCGAGTTGAGCTTAACTATGAACACCGCTTCAAGACTACGTGCCAATTAACCAATAAGATCCCCATAGGCCAATATCAGAAAGGCAGATGATGGCTGTAGTCGAGATGTATTTGTTGGCGATCTCGTGGTATCGAAAGAATACCGAGATCGTGCCAAAGGAGTACAGATGCGATCGGCAAGAAAAGGTGCGTGCGTAGTCAAAAACCGCGTAGAAGGAATGGAATACAATGGAAGACCAAAATGGCTGTTATTAGCACAGTTAAACAAACGAGCACAGTAAAACAGTCACTGGTACAATTGGTTATAATAATGATTGTTTTCATTGAACTAATCGCGTTCTCTTGACAAAAGTAGGTCACTACAAAGGTTTTAACATCTACCCTAAAAAGATTTTTTGTGTCTAGTTTAATATTTTTACTGCCTTAATGATTTACGACAAACTTATAAGAGATCTAGAAGAATTATGTGAAATGCTGAGCAACACATTTGCACAATCATCCACTAGATGGGATGAATGTGTACATGACAGCTTCGACACACATTGGCAGACCACAAATTAAAGCCAGTTATTGTTAGAGATGCCATAATACCATTAACACATTCGTTTTATAGTGTTTATGATGGAATCCTAGTCAATTCCGACTTAGCACAATAATTTTATCTGTCCTTTGATTCATGCACTTTCCCTAGGCAATGGAAAACTACATAAATTGTTCTA